ACATAGTCTCCTAATCATTTTTGGAAGAACATTGACATGACATTGAACCAACGATTTATAAGAACTTTGGTGCGTCATTTCTATTAAATCGGACGAAAATATATATGGGAGCTATATCTAAATCTGAACCGATTTCCACGAAACTTAACACACATCATTCCAGGCTTAATTCAATACGCTGTGCCAAATTTCGTGCAAATTGGTATATAGGGACTTCGGTACATCATTTACACTAAATCGAACGAAAAGATATATGAGAGCTACATCTAAATCGGAACCGATTTTCACAAAACTTCACGTACTTCATTCTAGACTCAATCCAGTGCGCTATACCAAATTTCGTGCAAATCGAAAGATATATAGGGACTTTGGTACACCATTTACATAAAATCGGACGAAATGATATATGGGAGCTATATCTAAATATGAACCAATTTTTCTGAATTTCAATAGGGTTCGTCCTTGGGCCATTGTCCATGTTTTATCATCTACATTATAGGCTTCGAGTATATCCAATGACTGACGGAAGAAACCGCCAGCCACAAATATCATACGTGTTGTATTCGGTTTACGTTCCTTTACCACGGGCCTTTTGTGCAATGTCAAGTCTTTGAAAATTTTCGCCAAATATTCACGACATGCTGGCACTTTACGTAACACATCACAGTTTTTCATTTGTTCGCGTAGGAATGTTGGTGTCAAAAATTGACAGCGTACCGAAAAGAGAATATGTTCCATTTTCGGATAACGATTCTCCTCGTCGTATTTTACCCATTTCAGTACGGCATTGTACACCTCACGTTCACCTTGAACGTTGAGTTCATCGCGGCGAATAAGGGCAATTAGCTGATAGGCAGATAATTGTAGGAATTCCTCTTCTTGGCAAACCTGGAGAGAAATATGAGAGGTTAGTTGCGTTATGTGCAAGTTAAGGTTCATGGTTCTCACCTGAGTAAAATGGCGTTCTATAAAATGATTGGCCTTCTTTTGCAGCTCCGTACAACCATGTTGTTCGGCAAAATTTGCAATCCCTATGGCATTCGTTGGATCCAACTGACGCTCCAAAAAGGCACAGCAGGCATCTATCACATTTGGCACTTGGAACATGGTTGCGGCAGGTAATAATTGACAAACCGTCACCTCGGTCACCCGTATGTGTCCCGTATACATGAAATATATAATACGACCCATAGCTGTTGGGCACACCTAATGAATATGTTAAGAAAAACCCTTTGTGTTTGTTAGTCGACAATCGATTTTTCCAGAGCTTTGGTATGAAATGGAAATCCTATCCAATACTAAATACTAACCCCTTGTAATTGAACACGTGACATTTCGGTTTCTTTAAGACCACCGGTAAACATGGCCTTAAAATATGGTGATGCTGCCGACAGTACAACTTTATGGGCTGGAAATAGTTCATGTTTAACCTCCAAGATGACATCGGTTAGCATGTTATGGGAACGCATCATAAACATCATTTTGAGAGCTTCTTTTGCATAGTTCGACATACAAAATGTCATATCATCTTCTTTGGCATTGAGATCATCGTGGTCTTCTTCGAGGGTCGATGAACCACCACAGGCACTTTGACAGACACCTGACAAATTTCGACTACTATCGGATGTAGCATCCATGTCAGTAACTGTAAGTATAAAAAAGGAGATGGAGAATTTTGTTAGAATATATGGTCTAAACTATTTAAAAGGCATACAGAAAATTGCCTATAGATTAAAGACAAAATGAATGGAAATTGAGAACAATTTTATTGATTGTTTACAAAACCTAACAAAACAGCTGATTAAATATCAGCTGGTAGTACAAGAAATTTCATGATTTAATAAAAAACTCGTGTTTAGAAGTAATCGTTATAGATAATTTTGGATTAAAATTGAAAGCATTTTGACAGCTCGGCTGAAATCATCTGGCCTTATCGGACGACCTTATTATTGGATCATGACCACAAGGAAACGATCAAGATCTATTAATAAGGTCACCAAGATAGCAATCGAAATCGGAAAACAGCTGTTTTTTCTCAAGTCTAATGTCAAAAATTTCGACTTTGTTTACGTTTTCATACTGAGTCTTGTTACTGAGTAAATTTTCCTTATAAGAATTTGCAAATACTCAGTAACACTGCAGTCAAATATCCTCTCTCAATTTTTTTTAATAATTTGTACAAATTATTGATTAAACGAACGAACCCATTATTAATCTGCCCTCGTATGATTGGACGATGATGATTAACTCTATGAAAAAATTTTTAAGAATTTATAAATTATATAATTTAAATTAAACATTATGTATAATACATGTGACGTACACATTAGCAGTATATGTACAGTTTGCGCATCACAATACTTATTTATGTTTTTGCCTGTACGTCACACACTTTTCAGGTTATGCGACTTATCTTCTTTATCATTAATAGTGGTATGCTATCTATCTACTATCCGCAAACTTTGTGTGTTCACAGTAGACTTTGATTATTTGAAATCGATTTGTTTATTGTCATTCAATAGAAATGAATTATCTGATTAAAAATAGATTTATGACGACCGTATGGTCCCATGACGTGGGGTGGGGAGTGAAGGCGAAAAGGGGAATATATGTAGACATTTTGTTTTCTTGGAAAAAAATTAAAGCAATTACAATTTTGCCAACATTGATACTAAAAAAACATAAAGGGGTGGTTAAAAATGTTTCGATTTCAATATGGCTGGCTGATCAATTACCTTTTAAGGAAAAAATCTGAGACCTCTTATCACTTGACTTCTAAAAGAACCCACCACACAGAATGACTTTCGCAAAAATTTTGTAAGTCTCTAGACAAATTAATTAAAACGACACATGCGAAAAGGCGGCAGAGCAAGTCTTAGAGATAAACATTTGGGTTATCGTTCATTTACAGACAGTCAAATGTAATTGAGCAGATAATACAATTGGAATTCAACCAAATCAAATATTTGGATTTTGGACAGATTTTTTGTGGGATAACGAGGTATTTTCAAATATAAATTATTCTTTAAGTTTTTACAGCATTGTATATCGTCAGCTAGATATATCGTAGCTTCCATATATAATTTCGACTTATTTATGTTTATTGTACACCAATTAATCAATAGGTGTCTGATTGAGATTAAATTTTAAACAGTGCAGCATACCGAATAGCGTGTGTCAAGTTTGCTTTAAATCGATTTACAATCAGTGTTCGCAAAAAAACGGTACACTATCGTAGTGTACCGTACCAGGAACACAAACACTAAAAAAATTTTAGCGTTAGTGTTCCGGTACACAAACATTAAAAAATATTTTAGTGTTACTGTTCCGGAGCACAACGAAATTCGTAGTGTACCGCTGTCGGAGCACTAAAAATCGTAGTGTACCGCGGTCGGAACACTAAAAAATTGTAGCGTACCGCGGTCGGAACACTAAAAATCGTAGTGTTCCATTTGTCGGAAAACAAAATTATGTATTCATCTTTTATTTTTGTATGAATAAAATTTATATTTTTATTGCTTTTCAATAATTTAATAAATAAAATATCTTTTTATATTTGTATTGGTTTATTTTTTATTTAAAAAAATAGTAATATTATATTAACATCAACAGTTTAACATAATAAATATTTTGTAACTAAAAAAGGGCGTCTAGTGACGGCCAACTCATAACTGAAAATTCCATTGAATTGCATTTTGGGTTATAATCGATTGCGCTGATCGGAAATATGAAATTCGGTTTTTATATGGTACCTGTATGTGGTCTTGTAATATTTATCCCAAAATCATAAAACTACTTTTTTCATATCCGCGTAACTTGTACACTTCTTTTCATGAATAAGCAGGTAATAATTATGTTGATTGTGTGCCAATCACCAAATTTTGAATATTTTTGATAAAATTTCCTAAAAGTATGAATCGTAGATATAATTTTTTTAAGAAAAAAATTTTCATACTAACATTTTACAAGGAGATCTCCTAATTTTATTTGAAAAATCATGTTCGTTCAGTAAATTAATGAAAATTTTATCCAAAGCTGTATAATTTTGTCACAAAAACTGGCCAAAATACCAATATTTTGTAATTGCAAATAAAGCTATATTCATTTTTATTATTTGATCTCATTTTACCTCAAAAAACAAAACAGACGTGTATGGTACACTACCAGTACAGTTCAAGTAAGTGGAACGCTACGATTTGTATTGTTCCGACCAGTGGAACACTACGATTTTTAGTGTTCCGAACAGTGGAACACTAACATTTTTAGTGTTCCGACCAGTGGAACACTAACATTTTTAGTGTTCTGACCAGTGGTACACTAAACATTTTAGTGTTCCGACCAGTGGAACACAACGATTTTTAGTGTACCGCAGTCGGTACACTACGAATTTTTAGTGTACCACTGCCGGTACACTACGATTTTTAGTGTACCGCTGTCGGTACACTACGATTTTTTAGTGTACCGCAGTTGGTACGCTAAGATTTTCGTTGTGCTCCGGAACAGTAACGCTACAAATATTTTTAGTGTTTGTGTACCGGTACAGTACGTTATTTTAGTGTACCTATCCACCTTGGTACGGTACAGAACACTATGGAACGGTACCATAATGTTTATTTTCGAACGCTGTTTACAATACACTGTGCGCAAACGACTCTAAACTTGCCTAAATGAAATGAAATTTAGCATAGGTTCCAGAAAGACATAAAAATCACAAATTTAAGTTCGTTCAATTTCATGACAAAATTCCTTCAAAAAGGCGACATCTTTTCGGATACATATGTAGAATATACCCAAAGTGGTGAAGGGTATCATATAGTCGGCCCAGTCTGACTTTACTGCTTTCCTTACTGGTTTCTTATTAAAGAAATGACCGTATTTTAGATCGCGGGCATGATAACTCTTCACTGGAACATCGGAATCCGAAAATACCAACGTTGTTAGAATGAGTACTTGTCTGGCTCTCGTATGGATTTTTGACTCAACAAAATGGCGTACATTTGAAACAAATTATTTGAAAAATCGAATATTTTTGACCACAAACTAAGTTCAAAAATAAGGAAGATATTCACCGATTGAATTTATCCTAGTTCATATACAATAAATCGGCTATATCTTCAAAAGTTGTTGAGATTTAGTGTAGGATCGAATCAAATAAAAAAACAAAACTATATTTTTGGTAACTGAGAATGTGTTGGTTCCCTTAAAATGGGCAGTGGAATATGTCCAATATGTGATGTCTTTATCCGTAAGCTGGGTCCAGAGTTCGTGTCCAATAGGAATTGGGTAACTGTTTATTCTTTGCTGGCATAGATGGTCACCGAGAATAGCCTAGAATAAATGCTTAATTGTTTTATTGGCTGGGCGACTACATCTTTGTGAATGACTTACAGACTTTCTAATTAACCCAAAAAAGCAAACAATAAGTCGGATGAACTTCGGGGATGGTCCGTGTTTTTAGGTCAAAAATATGTAAACGTCATATACTAGTATAAAATTTAATTTTCCAGAATATATATTATTTTTACATATATCTGACTATTCCTTACTAGAACTGATAAAAAATTCAAAACTTTTTGGTGAAGAAAATTTTGAAACTTGATGTGAATTTGAATAAAGCATTCGTAATTTCCAAATTGATTAATGGAAATAGCTATTTTGCAAAAACCTAATGGTTTTTGACGTCGGAAATGTATGCCATTTACGTCACTATTTCTGGCGGACCATCTCTGATCAAAATTCTTAAAATCTATTAAGGTTCGTCAAATCTAGAAACAAGTTTAAGCATTATCTGTCCCGGAATGCCAACCGAAATGGTCGATTAAATCTATGTCGATTAAATCTAGCCCCTTGGATGATACTATGGACAATTCTAAGCAACTTTGTTGAAGGAACCATAGGTCTATATCGATTTTCGAGTCTCCCACTTTTCAAAAGTGTCCCTGAGTTTTGGCAAACCTTCAGACCCAATCCCTAAGAAATGACGAAAAAGAAACTGGATATTATTTACGTTGGGTTTCTTGGATTTTTTCGATTTGGATTTTTCCACATATATTTTCTTATTCACATTTTTACACATTTGAGATAAAATTGTCCGGAATTAAACTCCTGGAACCAAATGCCATTGCTTCAACTGGTTCTTTGTCAATTCTATATTTCGAATTTAAAATCAATTATTAAAAAACATCGGGGTTTTCCAACTATCAACTGGTTTATTTATCACAAGAAAATAAATAATACAGATACATACATACACATTAGCACTCAACATTAATGTGACGTCTTTTACATTTTCAAAATTAAAAAAAAAAATTTAATCAATTTAACGGAGATTCCCCCATTTACACATTTTTGTTGTTGCTATTATTATTATTGCATATTATTTTTTGTAACCTTACACAATATTTCTTTCGAAACTTTCTCGTTAGAATAAATAACCACCGCCGACGTTGTTGCAGTATCTGTAAGTATTCCATTCGAACGGCAACTGAATATTACATGCCGGCTGGCTGGCTGCTATCACTGCAGGGTGGTTATACCCTGCCGAAGTGAAATCCACTCAGAAAATAAATTAAAAAAAAAATAGGGAGACAAAAACAAAATAGACAATAATGCAATATTTGTTTAGCTTGTGTGTGTGTTTTTTTTTTAATTTTTTTACGAAAAGACTTGAGTCTTTTCTGCGTTGTTTTTCATTTTTTTTTTCTATTTTACATGTATATACACTCAACGAAAAAAAGTTAGTATAAAACTGTTAATATTTATAATTTTAATAAAATCTAGAATATATTATAAATGGATAACTTGCATTCGATATTTAAATTTTGTTTTAGCTAGTTACATTTTGAGCATATAATTTATTATCTCCTCAAGATTTGATTATCAATCCTGTTCAAATGAAAGGACTTTCACTCTCATAAGAAATTCATTTCAACCCACAAAATCTGGTTACTCAGTGTTATAAGTCAATCGACATATGAAAAAAGTCCTGTTCAATTCAGAAGTGATTAATTTTTAATATATTGTTACGAATATAACTTTAGATTTAAGTTAATTTAGATGAATTCCGTTAATTTAAGAATTTGAATTGTAACGTAAATTTCTACTACGCAGTTTATTTGAATAACTTCACAACAACAACCACTGTATAGATTTTTCTACATCCTTCCATTTCCTCTTTCATTTTCTATTTTGTTATTGTCGTGCAATTC